CTAAGTGCCTACTGCGTGCTAGACACTTCCGGAGCCTTGGGAATAAAGCAGCTTGGGTGCAGCTGACGGACGCAGCGCTGAAATGAGGGCACGCGGGGCCTGGGCTCAGCTGGGAGCCGCAACCGTGATGAGCAGGCTGCCCGCGTCTCCTTGTCCAGCAGCTCGGGACGAACCAGGATGGGGCTGGAGGGGCCGTGGGGCTTGCTATCTTGGCAAACCATCAGAAAGAAGCTTCACTCTTCACGTTTTCTTTCTCATCTTGTCCCCCCCACCCGCCGCATTGCGTTTCATCTCGTGGAAGGGGGTCATTCATTTCACCAAACACTAATGAAGGGAGCTGGGTGGTTCGCAATCTTCGCTCATATGAAGAAGCCTATGGTGCACAACCACGGATGAAGGTCAAGTGGAGAAGCGTTTCCTTGGGATAGATGCCCCGAGCTGGGCTGTTGAATCAAAGCGGAAATACATTTGTAATTTGGCTGCGTGCGGCCAGACTGCCTCCATGGGAGGGCAGCTTGGGTTCCCATCAACAATGAATAAAAAGTTCCTCTTTCTACACAGCTTCCAACTATCCTTGTAATCTTTTGGATTTAGTCATTTTGTCATGACTGAGACTGAGTATACATCACGTGTGTAAGGCTGTTTATATTTCTTTCTCGTGAAGTGTATTTTTAATGTCTTTTGCCTGTTTTATATTGTGTGGCTGCTCTTTTTCTTTTTTTTTAAGATTTTATTTAGTTGAGAGAAAGAGAGATAGCTACAGAGAGCACAAGCAGGGAGGAGAGGGAGAAGCAGGCTTCCCACCGAGCAGGGAGCCCAGTGCGGGACTCGATTCCAGGACCCTGGGATCATGACCTGAGCTGAAGGCAGACACTTAACCGACTGAGCCACCCAGGCATCCCTGAGATTATGATTTGAATTGAAACCAAGAGTGGGACACTTAACCGACTGAGCCACCCAGGTGCTCCATGCTCTTTTTCTTATAAGTTTCTAGGATCTCTTTATTTACAGGGGGTTGTTAGGCTCTTGCCCAAGATAGGAGTTGTGGACATTTGTCCCAGCTTACCATTCCTTCCTTTTTTAAGTTATGGAGTCTTCTCCTCTTGCACAATATTCAGTTCTCCCCAGTTTGATTTTTTGGATTCAATGTAATCCCCATAAAATGCCTCAGCAGGTATCTCTTTGTGGAAAGCAATGAGCCTAGACAACCACTACTCTTTTGGTCTCTGTAGTTTGCCTATTCTAGACCATTCGTACGTCTGGAGTCCTACAATAATATGTGGTCCTTTGTGACTGACAGTCCATGTAGCTTAATGTTTTCAAGGCATCCATGTTTGTAGTATTTATCAGTAAATTATTCCTTTTTATGGCAGAACACTTTTCTGTTGCATGAATATACCATATTTTGTCCACTTGTTCATTAGTGGGTGGATTTTTGGGATGTTTCCTCCTTTTGGTTATCATGAATGATGATGCTATGACCATTAATGTACATAGATTTTCATGTTTTTCGTTCTCTTGGGTACATACCTTGGAGTGCACTTGGTGGATTCGTGGTAACTCTATGTTTTCCTTTTTGGAGAACTACCTGTTTTCCGAAGGACTGCTATTTTATATTTCAATCAGCACTTTCTCCATATCCTCACCAAAACTTCATTATCTGTCTTTTTAATAATAGATGTCCTTTTGCATGTAAAGAGGTATCTTATTGTGGTTTTGATTTGCATTTCCTAATGAATAATTATGCTTAGCAGTTTTCATGTGTATACCTTCTTTTTATGGCCATTTGTATATCTTTTTTTAAAGGACTTATTTGAGAGAAAGAGAAAGAGTGTGTGGGGGGAGGGGCAAAGGGAGAGGGAGGGAGAGAATTTCAAGCAGACTCTCCGCTGAGCACGGAGCCCGACGCGGGGCTTGACCTCACGACCCCAAGATCAGGGCTGAAACCAAGAGTCAGACGTTTTAACCAACTGCATCACCCAGACACCCCTGTATATTTTCTTAGGGAAATTTGTCATAGTCAGATCCTTCCCCCACTTTTTAAGTGGAATGTTTATATTATTATATTATGGAGGTGTAAGAGTTGTTTAATATACATAAGTCCCTTATTAGAAATATTATTTGCAAATATTTTATCCCATTTGGTGGGTTGTCTTTCTCTTTATTGACACTATGTTTTGATGCAAAAAATGTTCAATTTTATGAAGCCAGTTTATATTTTCTTTTATACTTGTGCTTTTGGTGTCCGCCCTTGAGGACTGATGTTCTCTGCTCAGTGGACTCCAAGTCTGGGCAGACACATTGCTGACTGTGGCCTCACCCAACAGCCTCGGACCAAGCCGACTCCACCTGACCCTGCCTTGAGGGCTCCCCCTTTCCTTTCCACTGACCAGAGGCCCGTGTAGAAGCTGAGCGTATTGGATACGTGGGTTGGGGGCTAGCGCAGTGGCCACTCTTGGTAGAGCCTTAGATGTGGTTTGAGCACTTTTTCCTTCTCTAAAGCCCCAAGCTGAATGCTCTGCCCTTTCAGCAGTTTTCCTGAGCCCCCTCTGTATACCTGGCAAAAGCCTCCTGTGTTCACACAAGCTCAAGTGGGTCCTGCTGTTGCAACTGGGAACTTCCCCTGGATGGAGCATGTCCAAGGTCGTCCCTGTGCCTGGCTGAGCTGCCCTAGATATGCCGGGTTCCCTGAGAGGAAGGAGCTCTGTGCCAGGAGGGGCCAGGCTACAGCCCTGCGGTGAACAGCCTACAGACACTGTGTGAGTCGTCTTCTAAATAGATCTTTGAAAAATTGTGCAAGAATCTCTTTTGGATAAATTCCTAGGATCAGCACTGCTAGGCAAATGTATGCACTGATGGGACTTTGGCGGGTTAACCCTTTCTCTGGCATTGGCTTCTGAGGAATGCTTTAGTGCTTTCTAGTTTTATTTTTTATTTTTTTTATTTTTTAAAGATTTATTTATTTATTTATTTATTTAAGAGAGAGAGAATGAGAGAGAGCACATGAGAGGGGTTAGGGTCAGAGGGAGAAGCAGACTCCCCGCCGAGCAGGGAGCCCGATGCGGGACTCAATTCAGGGACTCCAGGATCATGACCTGAGCCGAAGGCAGTCGCTTAACCAACTGAGCCACCCAGTGCTTTCTAGTTTTAGTCTGCCTTTCCACTGGTGACATTTTCCAAGTATGTGGTTGGCCACAGAAGAGCCAGCTGTTCCCTCATGGCTCCTGGCCCTCGTAGGACACTGACGAGTGATGGGATAGCACTTGCAAGATGATTGACAGGTGATTTACAAAAGGTCTGTGACTTCCGTCTTGCTTGCTCTTTCCTGTGTTGCTTCTCTCCTTCTGTCCCTCCGTGTGTGTCTCTCTGGTTCCCATTACTAAGAACCAAAAGAGGGCTCAGATCACATCAGCTGACTTAAAAGAACTGAAATCTCGGTCCAAACTGAACCTCGCCAATAACTTGTGAATGAGCTCAGAAGTGGACCCTGCCCCAACCGAGCCTCAGTTGAAACCCCAGACCAGCCTCTTGGGAGACCGTGGGGCACAGCTTCAGCTGAGCCGAGCCTGGATCCGAATCAGAGACGCAGGAGATAACGTTTGTTCTGATGAGCACTTAGGCTAATGTGTCTCACAGCATCGACCACCAGTATATCCTTCCAGGGCCAGCTCCGGCCTGCCCTCCTCCCTCTCTCCCTCTGCCCTCCCCAGCTCTCTCCAGCCACACTGGCTCCTTCTCAGCATCTCTGGCCAAATGCTCCTGTACCCCTGAGTCTCTGCATCTGGGAGCTTCCCCCAGCACACGGTTCCCAGACCTCTGCAAGGCTGGCTCCTCTTGTCTTTCTGGTCACAGCACAAATGCCACCCTGGAGGCCTTTTAGACCTACCGAGGAGCTCCTGGCTGGCCCTCCAGTGCCCTGCTTCATTTCCGTGTATCATCTGCTCTTCTTCCTGTCTTTGTCCATCTCCCACTGTGGGCGGTGAGCTCCCAGTGGGCAGGGGCCATGTGGTCCCTTCAGCACTCACCCTGGATGACTGCAGGGGCACAGTAGCCAAATGAGTCAATGAGAGGGACTTGGAGCACCTTCCCACTTCTGAGAAGCTCATAATGAAAGGTCCAGTTGCTCTCCGTTGAGCAGTGAGCGCGCCCCCCCACCCCCCACCCCCCCATCGGTGCCAGCACTGCAGCCCCAGGCAGGAAACTAGAAATTAAAACACACCTTTGGGGTCATCAAGGCAGGGGGTTCCCAGGCCCCAGGGGACAAAGGGGCAGGACGTGGGGGCTCCAAGGGGGATGAGGAGGACCTCGGATCCTCCAGGTCCCCCAGTTTCCGGCCACTGTTCTGGGGTTTCCAGTTCACTCATGAAGTCTACTCACCCCAGCCCCCACAATGACTCCGCCCACTTGCACCTGAGGCTCCAGCAAGGGGGGTCGGTCCTTGGACAGGACCCCGGAGGAGCAGTCCAGTGCTCTGCCACATTCTGCATTACCCAGGTCCTCAGTCCCAGGCCGCCCTCTACTCCCAGGGACCCCAGGGAGTAGAAAGCATTTACGGGACTTAGCCAGGTGTGTCATCGATGGGGAACCGAGGCCGACAGACTTCTAGGAGCCTGTGGGACCCCCGGGACTTCTGCTGAGAAGGAAGGCCTTCCCTCTCTATTTTGGAGCCCCCTCGCCATGGGGGTGGGTGCTAGGGGCTTCCCCCGGTTCCAGGCGCCCAGAGCGGCGGACAGGGCCCCAGACCTGTCGTCTCCCCTCCGCCCTGGGGATGGCCCAGCCCTGCCGACCCCGGGAACCTCGGAACACCAGCCCACCAGCCGGGGACCTCGCCCCTAGCGATGCCGCGCGCCTAGGACCCTTGGCCCTGAGACCGCGGAGTCGGGCGCTTGCGCACAACCACTCCCCAACGCCAGACTTTCGGGCTCGCCAGGGATGTGGGCGTGTCCCCTGGCCCGAGGTGCCGCCAGCCAATCAGGGCCGCCTCCCGCCGGCACCGCCCACCGCGCCCGGTGCGGCCTTTCGGAACAGCAGGCGCAGCGGCGCACGGGGGTAGTCAAGCTGCGGCGGTCTAGCTCCTCCGAGCATGCAGCGGATTCCGGCTCTAGGCCTGGGCACCTGGCAGGTGAGGTGGACCTCGCGCCCCGGGGCGGGCGGGGCCTTTCCCCAGCCGCGGAGGGGATCCGCGGGGCCACCTGCCGCCCTCCCTCCCCACCCCCCGGCGCCACCGCCCTTGCCCTCTCCCGAGCATTAGCCAGTAAATGTCGGCGAAAGGCGGGAGCAGACGATGGTCAGGCCGGTGTCGGGGCGGGAGGACCGGCGGCCACCTGCCCGCGGGCGCCCTGGGCCAGGGAACCTGCATCCCGAAGACTAGTGCGGTTTGGGACAGAACTTACTTACCTGTGCGAACCGGGGGCGGAGCACTGTGCGCCCTCGTGTCCTCGGACTTTGTCACCGCTGTCCGGGACGTGAGACCCAGCGCTCACCGAGAGCCCTCCGCACCTGCTTGCCCTGTTTACTTAGACGTCGTGTTTAATAAAAGAAGCGATCGGTTGAGTAGGAATTAGCATCATCAACCCCTGCTCAACCAAGTATTATTCAAGTGATTTCTTCTAAATACTTTCCAACTCTTAAAGGCAAGGATGTAACTTTATTCATGGTGGCTCTCCGCATCTAGCCGCTCAGTAAGCGCTCAGCGGGTTTAAATGCTTTGACTTCCCGGCCCGCTTTCTCTGGCTGTCTTCTGCACGTGGCTCAGTGTGGGAGCCCTGTCTTGCACACAGCGCAAGGAAAACCTGCAAACACTGCTTCAGAGGCCAAAACATTCCTTTCTGTTATTGTTGGACTTCAGGTGCACAGACTTGGATCAGTCTTAGTCACCCCTTCCTGATCATGCAGAGTCTTGTTTTTATGTGGTAGTTTTCAGTAGTGTAAGGTCACAGAGCTACTACCATCAGCTGTCTAATGCCCCAGAAGTGCCTTATCAGCAACCAAGCACAAAAACTCACTGGCTTGTGGCTTATTACTGCTGCGTGCAGGTGGTCAGCTGGGCAGCTCTGGGGATCTTGGTGCAGCTCACTCCCATGTCTGGGGTTTGGCTGGTCTCGGTTGGGACGTTTGGGGCTGCTCCACCTGGCTCCACCTAACTCTCAGCCTCAAGCAGGCTAATCTGGGATATTCTCCTGGTGATGGCTGAAGCACAAGGGAGCCAGGGAAATGCACAAGGCATCCTGAAGCCTCGGCTTGGAACCAGCATCTCCGCTGCATTCTGTTGGGCGCAGTAAAACACAAGGACAGCCCAGGTTCAAGAGCCGGGGGAATATAGCTCATTCTGAGTCTGTGGAATCACATTAAATCCATAGATCAATCTGGAGAGAACTCACAACTTTATGGTATTAAATCTGGCTTTCTACAAACATAGTATATTTCTCTGTTAATAAATTGTCCTAGATAGATTGCATCTCTCACTGTCTCTTCATCTGGTTGTATATTCAGCTTTCCCTTCATTTGTTGGAATTATTCCTGGATACTGGACAGTCTGTGATACTATTGGAAATGAAACTTCTCTGAAATTATGTCTTCAGCTCATTCGTTGTTGATGCATAGAAAAACAATCTTCTCCGGCATCTGGCTGGCTCAGTCGGTAGAGGGTGGGACTCTTGATCTCAGGGTCAGAAGTTCAAGCCCCATGTTGGTTGTGGAGCCTAGTTAACAGAAAAAAACAATCTTCTTTGGTATATTCAACACATTTCCAGCCACGTTGCTAAAATGTCCTATTGTTCTCTTCATTTGCCTATAGATTCATTTGGGTTTTCTACATAAATGATCATACCAGCTTCAAATAATGCTACTTTCATTTCCTTTTTTCTGATCCTTAAGTCTCAAATTGCCTTTTCTTAGCTGATTGTGATAGCTAGGGCCTCCATTACCGTGGACATTCTCGTTTTGTTCCCGATCTTAAAGGGAATGTTTCTGATACTTACACGTTTAGGATGATGTCTGCCCCAAGGTTTTTTGGGTTGTGTTTGTTCTTGATATTTTTGTTATCATTGTTGTTTTAAATGTGGGTATTCCTTACCAGGTTAAAGAGTTCCCTTTTGCCCTAGTTCACTGAGACTTTAAATCAGGAATGGGTGTTGAATCTTATGCAACATTGATTGACATGATTTATTTTTTAGTCTATTAATGCGAATTATTATGGATTTCCTAATATCAAGCTATCCTTGGCTTTCTCAGATAAACTCAGGGTGGGTGTGGTATTTTTTTTTCCATAATATATTGTTGCATCCAATTTGCGGTTATTTTACTTAGGGTTTTTGCAACTTATTCATGAGTGAGATGAATGTGTGACTGTCCTTTTAATATTTTTGTCTGCTTTTGATTCCAGGGATATGCTGGGTTAGTGGGATGAATTGGGAGTATTCTTTGTTTTTCTCTTCTCTGAAAGATTTTGTGTTAAATTGGGATGATTTCGTCCTTGAAAATTTTGTAGAACTGTGTGTGTGTTTAACTAATTGCTTCATTTAAAAAATAAGTATAGGACAAGTCAGCTTTTACTTCTTCTCAAGTAAGTTTTTCTAGGGACTTTTCCTATTCTTTTCATCTTTCCAGATTGTCAGCTTATAGTTACTGATAATATTTTCTGAGATTTTGGGTCTCTGTTTAATCTGTATGACTGTTTTTCATTCAGGTCATTAAAAAAAAAAAAAAGGGTCCCATCAGTCTCATCAGAAGTTTGTCCACCTTATTCAGATTTTTCAAAGAACTGGCCTCCAGCTTGTTCATCTCTGTCATGTGTTTATTGGATGTTCGTTCTTGTTTTCAAATTTTCTCTTTCCTTCTAATTTCTTGGCGGTTTATTTCCTGACTTGAGATGAATGCTTCATTAGCTTTCAGCCCCTCTGAATGTGCTGCTCATCAAGAGAAGACCATTACACACGGTGCATGGGGTTCCACGAAGGTCGAGTGAGCAGGTGCTTTGTGAACCACGAAGCTCTTTGGGAAGGCTCAGTGCGATGTGTTGTGAGCCCTGCCCAGGCTTCTTCCCTGCTTCCATCCCTTTGCTTGCTTGAGCAGCCCCGGTTCACAGTGAGCATTTCTGAACTTCCACAGTCTTGATGGAATCCATACCGTTCCTGTGGGTTTGGGGAGATGCTGCAGGGGTGGTGGATTATCTTCGTGTGAGTATACACCTGTTCACCTTTACCCCTGGATTTCTGGTCTTGTTGGGTAGAGGGTGAGTCTACACCTTCTAGTATCTCAGTTACTATTATGATTCCTCCTCCATTTCTTTATTCCTCTGTTCATTCAGGAAGCACAGCGTCTGGCTCCGTTATTTGCAGGCACTAAAAATACCTATAGAGTTTTCCCCAAATAAGGAAAGGAGTTGGAACTTGGATTGTGTCTAAATCCTTTCTGACTCTGACATTCCCTAATTTTAGTGCTGACTGATACTTGCACCAATTCCGTGACCTCCTCACTTACGCACCGTTTGAGTCTACATTTTAGAGTGAAAAGGTGGGGTCTCCTGAATGTGAGTGGATTGCTTCTGTCGTGCTCATTCTGCAGGCGGCTCCAGGGGAAGTGACAGAGGCAGTGAAACTGGCCATCGACGCCGGATATCGGCACTTCGACTGCGCTTACTTATACCACAATGAGAGTGAGGTCGGAGCCGGGATCCAGTGCAAGATCAAGGAGGGTGTGGTGAAACGAGAGGACCTGTTTATCGTCAGTAAGGTAGGACTTTACATACAGGGCCAGCAGGGTGTCGACCACGCGGGGCTTGGTTAACAAGACGGCTGACCCAGCGTGTGGAGGGGTTTCTGGACTCCTAGGAGCTGGAACCAGACCTGACTAGACTTGGGCAGCTTGGTACACGTGCTGGGAGTCGTGTGGGTGAAGGCGTCCAGGACAGGGTGACGAGCAGAGGGGACAGCTTGCACAGAGGCACGAGGCGTGGGACAGCACCTTGGGTACAGGGACCTAGAAGAAGCTTGGTGTTCCTGGATTGGAAAATGGTAGACACCAGAGTCCTGAGAAACGAGGCTGGAGCAGGGGACGGGCCAGATCACAGAGGCCTGCATGCCTTTTAAGGGCCTTACTCTTTTTCCCATAGATAAAGGCGCACAGTTGAAGGTTTTTACGTAGGGAACTTATCCTCTACAGCAGTGAGACTTGTGTCCTATCTAGGCGATTACAGCCACTGAACGGAGCGTGTGTTTGAGCAGGAGGCAGAAGATAGGAGACACTGAGGGCAGCATGGGTGGGAGAGGAGGGTGGCCCGGACGTGGACAGTGGAGACGGTGGAGGAGGGGGACAGCCATGCAGCCGGTTAGGGGCAGACCCAGACAGCAGAGTTCAAGAACTCCCTTGCTTTTGACTTTGAAGCGAAACGTTAACACCCTGTGGCCAGGAGCCACGGGCCCTCATTCCAAGCTGTCTCTCACAAGCCCCGAGAGCCTGGGTCAGTCATTGGATGGCGCGGGGTCACAGTGTCGTTGTGTGTAAAGCGAGACTCAGATTTGATCATCGCCTGAGTAGTCTCCAGGTCCGATGTCCATAATTGCACAATTCACTGCTGTTTCTGTAGAACATTTGCTCTTCTGTTTTACTCTCTGATGATTTCTGTAATTCGTCGCTGCTTCTAAAGCTGGAGCAAAGGGCGAGTAAGGGAGATGCCTAGGTACGCACCTGGCCGAGGGACAGACGTCTCTCCTGCTACCCCAGGAAGGGAGGTGGGTGCTGGGACTGCTGAGGCCAGCCAAGATCCGGGGGAGAGCTGTGCTCATTACTCTAGACATTTGCAAAAGTCATGGAAATATAATTTAAAAAAAAAATCACTTTATGTATTCACCATCTAGGGAGTCCTGTTGTTAACAAGGTATTTTTAGTTTTTTTTGTTTTTCTTCTCTTTTGTCAATACACTGTGTTTACAGTATGTTTTTACATCTTTGCATCCTCTTTCTTGTACTTGTTTTATGTTTTCTCTTGCTTTGTCAGAGCCTTCAGATTGGCTCCCGTCACAGTTAATACTAAACAGTCTGATGGGAAGTAACGAGAGGAAAAACCAATCACGGATTTTCTACTTACCAGAGGGCGGGGAGGGAAATATCCAAGTCAGTACCGGTGAATGTTCACTCGCCCACCTAACTTAACTGCACGAGTGTGAGGCCTTCGTCCCCGAGGACTTCACCACGGCGCTGAAGTGGGAAAGACAATGCAGAATTTCTTCTGAGTTTCCCTCCTCCCCTTTCTGCTCCCAGGCGCTGGGTTTGGTTTGGTTTGGTTTGGCTTTGGTTTTTTTTTGGTCCCAGTGGATCCAGATAACCAGACGGCCCCCCCACCAAATAGTTCATAGTACCTCCAACTTCCCTTTAGTAGGACTCGGGCTGCAGAGCCCAGTTTTGGAGATCCCTCCCCGAGGGAGTCCCAGAACCATCTGAGGATAACGTCACAGCCCTGCTGTGTTTATTGCCATCTGGTCTTGGATGTTGTCTGTCTTCCTGATACTGGATTTGTGGGGCCAAGGGGCAGATGTGTTAACCCTGGCTTCGCTCCTCCCCTCGACAGCTGTGGTGCACCAGCCATAAGAAGTCCTTGGTGAAAGCAGCGTGCACCAAGAGTCTGAAGGCCTTGAAGCTGGATTACTTGGACCTCTACCTCATACACTGGCCCATGGGTTTCAAGGTATGAAAGGTGCGAGCAGCACCTTCCTTCCTGGTCACGCCCTTCGGGTGGTGCAGGGAGCGTGGGCCTCAGCTCGGCAGAAGCCTCGGCTCCAGGCCCCGCCGACCCCTGCAGGCCCCCATCAGCTCACTCCTCTGCCTCACAGCCCGGGGAGGAAGACATGCCCTTGGACCACAGCGGCATGGTGATACCCAGTGACACCGACTTCCTGGACACGTGGGAGGTGAGCCATGGGCTGGTGGGCCTCCAGGCAGGGTGCCGGGCCTCCGGGAGCTGGCTGTGTTCCAGCACAGGTGTGCAGTATGAATGGGGAACGCACACCTGACTCAGAAACTCAGACACCTGGGCAGCCGTCTGCTTCCTTAGTCCCGGCTGGTTCCGCTCTCCAAATCGTCTGTTTGAGGGGTTACTGAGGCAGACCTCCCTGTCAGGCTCAGTGTGGACTTGTTTTTTGATTAGAAAACATCACGCGGTTGTTACAGAAATACGGAAGAGGATAAAAAGAAAATTTAATAATCCCATTTTTCGGGCGCCTGGGTGGCTCAGTTGGTTAAGCGACTGCCTTCAGCTCAGGTCATGATCCTGGAGTCCCGGGATCAAGTCCCGCATCGGGCTCCCTGCTCGGCAGGGAGTCTGCTTCTCCCTCTCACCCTCCTCCCTCTCATGCTCTCTGTCTCTCATTCTCTCTCTTTCAAATAAATAAATAAATTCTTTAAAAAAAATAATAATAATAATCCCATTTTTCCATTATGTGGTGGTAACGACCACTCCTGGTCTGTAGCTGCCGAGGGCTCGACTGTAAGGGCTCGTGGGAGCGATGCCGGGCAGCGCGGCCAGGTCTGGGGGGCGCTGGGGGAAGCTGGAGGGTGGTGAGGGTTACAGCCTGTTGCTGGAGTCCAGACACGAGGGGAGGAAGAGGCCTCAAGCAAAGCAGCAAGCACGGGAGTGGGGGCGAGGGGTGCCAACTGTCCTGGTATGGAAGGGGGCCGGGGGTCCCGCTGCCCTGGGCCGACGTGGCGCCCTGGTATGGAAGGTGGCCGGGGGTCCCGCTGCCCCGGGCCACGTGGCGCGTGTAATCTTGCGCACCGATGTGGGGTAGAGGAGGGCAGGGGTGAGGCGTGGGAAGCAGTTGAGGTCACGCTGAGTCAGGGGGAGTCGTGGGAGCTGGCCTCGGAGTACCAGCAGAACGAGGGGGTGCACAGACGGGGAGGAGCTCTAGCCAGGCCACCCTCTCCCCCCATTCCTCTTAAACAGGGGACTCAGCGGAACAGATTGGCGGAGCGGTCTGGGCTGTGAGGCCGGGGGCCAGCGGCCCCAGCCCTTTCTGATCCACCGCATGGCCTCTCGGGAAGCCGTGGGTTAAACTCTGGGCCGTCTGCACAGGAGCGGGATTCCGGGTGGTGCCTGGGGGTACAGCTGTCCAGCCTGCAGCTGTTGTGCGCTCACTGGTCGCCCGCCCGTGGCCACTGTGGACTCCTGCTGACGCATGCGCGGCTCGGGGCCAGCCAGAGACTGACGGCCCCTTCCTGTGCTCAGGGAGCATATAATCTAGGTAGAAAGAGGGGTGAGCGAACAGCAGTGGATGTCCTTGCCCAACACCGTATCAACAGGTTTTCAGAGTAAGAGGAATAATAACAGCTACAATGTTGAGCGTTTACCACTTTCCAGCCCGGAGCTAAATGCTGTGCCTGCATTATTTGATGGAATCTTTAAAACAATCCTGTGACATGGACAAGCTTGTCCCGGCTAGCAGATGAGGACACTGAGGTTTAGTGCGATCATATAAATGCACCCAAGCTCACCCAGCCAGGGAGAGGTGGAAGTGGATTAGGCCCTGGGGGCAGAATGCCTGGGGGGCGTCCGGGGGCTATTTAGGGATCCTGGATGCAGCTGGTTCCTGCAGTGTGCAGAGGAGTGAGGGGCGTGGATTATCAGCGGAGCAGAACGACTCTTTGTTCTCTTTAGGCCATGGAGGACCTGGTGGTTACGGGGCTGGTGAAAGCCATCGGGGTGTCAAACTTCAACCACGAACAGCTTGAGAGACTTCTGAATAAACCCAACTTGAGATTCAAGCCAATGACTAACCAGGTGAGGCTTTAACAGGTGGAGTTGGCTTTTCAGCTGTCCCTTCCATGTGGCTAAACGGGAAACGGAGGGGGTGGGGCACACAGTGGGCATTTTTCTCCTGTGGCTGCAAATGGGTGACTTAGGGAGCAGTTAGGCAGGTAGCTGGCGCCGAGGCAGGGGAGCTGCTCCAGAGGCTTGTCCGGACAGGTGGTGCCCTCAGAAGGCAGGGCGGGGGCTGAGCTGGGTTTTCTCCGCGCAGAAGTGGTGAAGGGTCCCGGCGTGCCCTCCTCCCTCACTAACAGTGGTGCTCATAGCTTTCCTGGGAAAGCACCCGGGCCCCCTCCCCTCTCTCCAGCCTCAAAGGGTGGGCAGCTGAAAGACCGCCACGTTCACAGACACTCCCAGGACTTCTGTGCAGAGAGCTGGCTCGTGAGGAAAGGGCATTTTTGTAGCACTTTATTTTACCTAGACGTTTGCTCAAGTGTCATGTACATTTACAAAGTGCACACACATGACAGTAGAGCTTGATAGACTCTCCTAAATGGAGCCTAGCTGTGCTCTGCATCCAGGTCTAGAAACAGTGTGGCCAGCACCTGGGAGCCCCACCACACTCTTTTCTGTGGACCAGCCCCTGACAAAGGGCAGCCTCTATGCCGATTACTAAAGCACAGAGTAGCTTTGAACTTTATGTAGATAACGTGACACATTATGTGCTCATTTGTATCTGGCTTCTTTCAACCTTGTATTTGTTAGATGCTTCCGTGTTCGTGTATGATTGTCCCTCGTTCTGATCTCTGCATGGTATTCCATTACATGAGTAGAGCGTAGGGTAGTTATCTATTCTAGCGCTGATGGGGACTTGGGTAGTTTCTGGTTTGGGGACATTAAGAATAGAGCATCACGTTCCATTTTTTATTAAAAAACCTTCCTAGCTGAAGTACCACATGGATACGGGAAGGGGTGTCGCTTGGTGAGTCTCCGCAGGTGAGGTGCCCGAGTGGTCAGCACCCAGAGCAGGAAGCAGAACAGCCTCTGCCTCTAGAAGCTCTTCTAGCTGCTGTCCGCACGTGAGGCACAGCTTAGTTTCCCTGCTTTACAACCTTGCGCACCTAGAATCTGTTCATGTGCGTCATAGCTCCTATCCTGTCAGGGTTTGGGGCGGCACTGTAAATCCAGGGGACGGTTGGTGCCTCATCTGTGGGGTGCAGAGGGGCTGGAGGGTATGTTTCCTAGTTAGGGTTCTGAGCCCCCAGGAACGTGGGCTCAGCAGGGTTTTCAGAGAGCCCAGCAGCTTTGTGTTTCCGCTGCTGCTGCTGGCCATGCCCCGCACGCCCCTGAGCTCTGTCCTGGAGCCCACAAGGCACTGTTGTAGCTCTTCATTCACCCTAAACCAGCATCTGTTTTCAGCCCACTGAGAACCTGGAATCGTACGTGAGAATTTAGAGAATGTGGAGACGGGAATCCTGCGCTCCAGTTTCTTTAATGTCCATTGGTGTCCCCTGGAGCATGTGTGCCCCGTGACTCCCCAGCCTCGTTCGCTCTCCTCACAAGTGTTGCCGGAGCACGTTCTTTGTGGCTAGCTTATTCTAGATGCTGGGGAGATGTCTGGGAGCGCAACAGTCAGACCAAACCCGTGCCTTCACGGAGGGAGACAGACGATGGCAAATCAGTACAACATCGAGGATGTCAGTGACGCAGGCTAGAACGGAAAGTAAAGGACCAGAGCGAGGGCCTCACCGAGCAGGCGCTGTCTGAGCGTCCAGGGAACGCAGGTGTCCCTCCTGCCCATTCTCAGTGGCCTGTCACTTCACAGGCGTGGGTCATGTAGCTCTTCAGTGACAGAGCCGAGACATTAATGCGTGCCCTGTTTCCTGATGTACGGTTGGTCTGAATTTTCTTGGTAAGCTGGGATTCTCTTTGTAGATTGAGTGCCACCCGTATCTTACCCAGAAGGATCTGATCCGTTTTTGCCAGTCCAGAGATGTGTCTGTGACCGCATACCGGCCCCTCGGTGGTTCCAGGTAGGGCTGCGTCGGTGGTGCTGAGTCGAGGCTCTAGCAGGAAAGAGATGCACCCTCCAGCTGAATTTGGGTAGTTGGCAGAGGGTCTCAGGAAGGAGGGAGTGGGCAGGGCGTGCAGGGACCACAGGCACCTGCAGGGGGCGCTCACAGCACCCCTGGACCCTGTAGCTGAGGGAGGGGGCTGGTGCTGGGAGCCAGAGGAGAGTCACTTTGAGGGACAGAAGCAGCTGGGAGCAGCCTCTTGCAGAGCTCTGGACTAGCACGTAGGGTCCTCTGCTAGGCCTCTCCGTTGGGCTGGTTCACAGACATCCCCTTTTCCCCAGAACAGAGACTCCACCCGTCCTCTTTCCCCAGAACCTGAACTGTGTGCTCCCTCCATCAGCTAAGCTAACGAGCCCCCACTCGCGCGGCCCCTGGACCAGACACCTGGAAATCCGGCCTTTCCAATCCATCAGCAACATCCACTGATTATTCTGCCAGAGGACCTGGGATCTGTCTCTTGATCTCTGTTCTCGCCATCCCTGCCTTAGTTAATTGGGAGTTCTCACGGGTAATTCTGTGGCCTCTTCACTCCGGCCAGATTTGCCCTGTTCATGTTCACGGTAGCCGAAGGGGGCACCTCAATACGATCATGTCACTTTCCTGCTTAAAAACTCTTCAGGTCTTGGCATGGCCTAGGAGTCCCAACTGGTCTGGCCTCTGCCTACTTCTTGCCTCACTTCTTCCTGCAGGAAGTGTGCACACCAACCACTTTAAACTACGTGGGGCTCCCAGAATAGAGCACGTTCTTTCCAGTCTCTGTGCCTCTGCACACTGTTCTCTTTACCTAGAATCTTGCTGTTATCCTTTTTTTTTTAAATCTGGCTAACTCTGATTTCTAGTATATGGTTTAATTCAGCGTCACCTCCTCCAGGAAGCCCTCCCGACTCCCCATAGTCAGGTTTTGTCCATAGCCCTTGTCGCACTGTCTTGTCATTAATTCCTTTTCCCACTTGTCAGAGCTGCTTGAGTGCAGGGACAGCATGTGATGTGTGACTCCTCCAGCCCCTGGCTCAGTGCCTGGGACAGAGCCGGGGCCCCGGGAGGGCTGGAAGCATTTGACTCTGATTCTCTGTGTGTCTCCCGTGGGAAGCAGGCACAGGTGTTTGAACTTGGTAGCAGCAAGCGAGTTGCTGGAAGGCCGGGTGGTGGTGTGCAGCTGAGCGTGGGGTCCCGGGGCCACAGTGTGAGGTGGGAGCCGCCCAGGGGAGGGGAACCAGCTGAGTGCTGGGCCCACGGCAAAGGCAATCAGCCGTTTAGTTCCTTCAGGAGATGCTGAGCACTGTTTCTAGAGCAGTGCTCAGAACCTACGAGCGGCTTAAAGAATGTTCCTGCAGAAATGTCTCTCCGGGGAGGTTAGGGCCCATGGGACCCACGCTGAGGAGAGGGCCATTCTGTGCCCGACACGTCCCCAGTCTTGGGCTTGTGCTGGTATTTGAGTTGAACTTTTCTCGACTCGCCATCATCATCAACAATTACTTAGGAACAGTGCCACGGGCACACTCCAGGCCTTGCGGCAAGTGTCAGAAGGGCACACCCCAGAGCATGGGCAGGCCCTCCGACGTTGCCACCTCGTTCTCGAGGACACACCGAATGACCGTGAAAGCAGGGCATCCGGCTGTTTCCACGGGGGTGTTAGCACTGGTTGTGGTGGGATTTGGGTGATGAGCTCTCCTGGACCATTTAACTTCCCTACAGGGAGCAAGTACTGTGCTCAGACAAACACAAATCTGGGTTTTACGTTGTGTGTTTTGAAGCAAGAAGCACACGTTTGACCCCCTAACTCCCTGCCCGGTCCTGCTCTCTCTAGTGAGGGGGTGGGCCTGCTGGATGACCCCGTGATTCAGAGGGTGGCCCGGAAGTACAACAAGTCTCCAGCCCAGGTAGGAAGGGGCTGCCAGGGCTAGGGGGTGGGTGTGGGGGGGCGTGCCCGCTTCCTTGGGGAGCCAGGGACTGGATGGAGGAAGGGTTCGCTCACGCTGGCCCAGATGACCCCTGCCCGGAGCTCCCTCGGCCCGCCAGCCCAGGGCCGTGCTCCCAGCCACTGAGGCTGCGAGCCGCCGTGGGCGGGACCCCGGATGGGGGCTCTGGGGCCGTGTCCCTCGGCCCACCAGCCCGATGGGACAGGGATGGGCTTTACCACTCTCTTCCGTGCTCTGATGTCCAACGTCTGGGGGTTGGGCGCCTCAGTGAATTCTCATTAATTCACTGAATTCTCCATGGGCCAGTGGCAGTCATTTTTTTTTTTTTAAAGATTTTATTTATTTGAGAGAGAGAATGAGATAGAGAGAGAGAGCATGAGAGGGGGGAGGGTCAGAGGG